ATGTACTATTTGGGTGCGATGAGCTCCTTAAATCTGAAATCCACAAAGTGGGGTCCAGGAATTGTTTGAATTCCGACACCTATTTCGCTTCAACAAGTTTCGCCGGCACACCGTTCCAGTAGTTTATCACGCGCCGCTCAAAGTATGGAGGGTGGGCCACAAGTTTCAGAGCCGGCACTACGAGCTTGTGCCAGTGGCTGCGGGTACTACTTGATGCGCGCGCGTGCAGCAGTGACCTCTGCATGGGGAATTGACCCAAATGAAATAGCCGTTGTGCCATTGTGAGGCCCACTCGAACCCGACGTTACGACAGGGTGTGTAGCCGAAGTCGTCTGCATCGGTCGTCGTAAGGCAAACCCCTCAATTGAGAATGAGTCTCCTAGCTACATGATGAGTGCGTTTGAATCTACACGCGTCACCAAGGGTGATCGGACAATATGAGGGGATTCGTACTCGAGTGTCGGTCTTATGATGGAATAGAACGGGAGAATGACAATATCTTTAGACCGAATATGGAATATGGAAATATTCCATTTGAAATATGGAATATGGAATGTGCGCCCAAAACGTGCTCAGTCCGTTTCTATATAGCTTGTTTGTGTTACCTGCGAATTTCAAATCACGACTTGAGCGCACGCGAGATCCTCCACAGAAGGTGTGGGGTGTTACGGTCGGCGGGCCAGACTGTACGTACACCCATCACCGCCCTTTCTCAGGCTCATATATAACGATCTCACTGCGTTAACCGGGATGTTGACCTTTGCAGACCATGTGGACTAGTGGTCGAGGTCATGCTGAAATACGTCGCAGTCGTCGGGGGCAGCAACTAATCCCAAAATCTTCAACTCCTCTGCAAACAGGGCACAAGTTAACAGAAGAAGCTGAGATACTTCATTGATATCCATCAGGAGCAAAATTGTCCCCATCACTGTGTCTTGTGGTACCCTACTTTTGGAAGGAATACACGTTTCTTAGAAGATCCTCCACCTGTATCCTCCATATTCGCCCAATGGGAGAGTCACTAAATCAGTAACGCAGTGAGCCATCAACACCGCACATCCTCAGCTTCTTGATGAGGTCCTCCTGCTTCATATTGTGGAACACTTTACTGAAATCAATGTACAACGCATCCACCGACTTCCCCCGGTTCAATGCTTGCAACTATTCATGCCCCCGCAACCACATATTGGTGATGCAGGAGCAGCCCTTCATGAAACCGTGCTGTGCGAAGGGCAGGAACTTTTCCACTCAAGCATCGCAGCAGACTCTTCACGATCTTCGCGAGTACTTTGGGAAAAACGGTCGAGCAAATCGGCCGGTAATTGTCCACCTTACTTGCGTCACCGCATTTCATAACACCCTTCTCTGTCGAGCATATTCAGTCGACAATGCATCTTCGAATAACGATCTGTTGGACAAATCAGTCACGGAGGGCGAGACAATGGTCTATAAAAACTTGAAAATCAACAAGTGCAGCCTATCAGGCCCGGCAGGTTTCTTGCTTTCAAGTAGATTACGGACATTCTCTACATCAGAATCCAGGCTGTCCAATTCTGCATGGACTGCACACGTGGATCTTGGTATAGACCCACGCTCACTTGCAACTACAGAAGCAAATGGCGTCTCCAGTACGTACGCAGGTTAGTGTTGGAAGTCAGGCTCTCCATCAGAGAGTTCTAAAACTGCTCCGTCGCTTGCAGGTCTCAAGCGCAGCTTCACATAAGCGAAATTCGCTTGGGGCCGTCTTCCCTGAGGGTTGCAAGATCCTCTCTGCACGTCCGACTCTTCTATACTTTTGCTCTGTTGAATAGGTTCCGCTGTCTTTTGTGCACCTCGCAATCATCGGCGGAACCAGTCAGGAGGAATTGTTTCACAATCGTCGTCGCCGTCGAGTCAGCTGACTATACTCTTTATGATGTAACGTACCCTTGTGTCGCTTTTTAATGTATAAGTGAGTGCAGAAAAGACGAAATTCAGAAGATTTCACAGCTGACAAAGAAGAGGGAACAATTTATGGCTAACGTCCAGTAGTATGTGTTGGGTTGCTAGATGCTAAACTCATATTGGTTCAATGCTACAGAAGGTAATGGCAAACTCGACTACAGGTTAAAAATATCTGATATATCAGGATGATGTCACATCGTAGATGACGATTACCTCTATTATACACTCCTAAGGCCTGCAGTCGAAGTATGGCAGCCAGATCGCCTTTTAGGCAAAGCTTCAGGTCATAATCCGGTGCTACACATGCGGCCTCACACACGGGTTGAAGATTTTGAGAAAGATAGTGGGATAGAAGTCTGCACGCACACCGTAAGGGACTAACATGTTGGTTCCCGACTTTGGAAATCTTCCCAGATTGCTCTGAATGGCCGAGGTCGTCTTGCATCACCACCCCAAAAGTCACGTTCCTGTATTACTCAAGATGTTGTCTTCAAGCATGCATGTGTTATTGGGCTTGTGGTTGTCGCGTCGCAGCTGATGCCTTCACCCCACGACCGCAAGAAGAAGTCCAAAGACGAGCCAGAAGGAGACTTGTATACATGAAATCACAGTTGCTTATATAGTTTGAAGGCAAAATGAAGCGAAGCTACTAAAGTACACTTGAGCCAACCAACTGAAGGAAAAACGTAAAATGCAACGCCGAATAAGCAATCGTGTATGTAAGAGCGAATAGCGTAAGTCCCTAAAAATAGCATCATTGGACTCCAAGCGTAAAGCGAACGACCATTTACAGTGACGGGCACTGGCCAATCAGAATGACGCAATGAAACGTTTAAACAAAAGTCACGAACCAAACACGACAAAGGAATGCAGACCCAAAAGTTGAAAACCAGTACAATAATTGTGTGACACTAAATATTCCTTTAACATAACCAAGTAGAACAGTAATGAGAAGAAAAAAACCCAATAAAATATGTTCTTGCAAACAGCGCTGCTCAGAAAGGCATGACAAGGAGCGTCCATTAACAATGACGCGGATGTACCAATCGGGCGAACCCAGTAGAGCGTTTAAACAACAGACAAGAAACAGAAAATAGGAAGAGTAAAGAATAGCTATCAAGCTCGGTCACAATAAATGAAAGTCTAATAGCTCTTCTCCTAATAGTGGTGTACACTTGTCCGCGTTGAAAGCAAACACATTAGAAGTAACCATACAAAGCACCGTCCAGATGGCTTTGCAGCAGACTCTAATCCTCCTTATTACCGATTACTTGACATATCTTGATACCAACAAGAAAAAGCAGGAAATTTGACTTTGTGACAGGTACAAGATCAATACCGAAGACCAAGAACAAATATTCCCCCTCCAATGATGCTGGTGGAACGCCTCATTCCACCTCAATCGGAGCGGAGACTAAGTCCCGAACTCGCTGCTGCAAAGAAGGAAGAAGGAAGCTTCCGATCCATTCTAGGGCAGGATTTGCAATTCCGTAGTTTCGCATTCTATTGTGAAGTATTCGGTTATCTAAGCGGTCGAAGGCTTTAGAGACATCTTGATAAATGAAATCGGTTCCGGTCGCACTATTAGCCTTTTCGGCTCAACAACCAGGCCCAATCAATATTTTGGTAGTGGGTGGACTCTGTTGTCCAAAGTACTGTAGATCTGGTGCTAGAAACTTTGATCCTTCTAAATTACTCATTAATGTCTCAGCAGTGGCCGAATTCGTTAGTTTTTAGAGCAGTGGGATTAGGATCACTTGGCGATAGTTTACTGGTACCGAACGGGTGCCACCCTTAAAAATCAGAAGGATACTGCTTCCACATGAACTAGGCTTTTCTCTCATTCAAAATACTAGTAAATGTCGAGATAATGGATCGGCTAGCCTCTTTGTTGCCACTTGCAGTGCTTGCTGGTGGATGTTGTAAATTCCTAAAGAACTATGAGTGCTCAATGGTAACGGCTTCCTCCATATAGTCACTGAATTAAAGGTGACTTGAGTAAATCGTAAGTCTGAGTTCAAGTGGTAGCGCATCGGAATATTGGAGCCGCAGATACTTTTGGGGATTTTCGGTGGTATAAGCACACACCCGGTTGCAAGGACGAATGGGATAAAGCCACTCTGCACTCGTTTGTACAGTAGCTTGTTATATGCATAAAACCTTTCTGCTATACAGCTCTGGTGTACTATGTTGTGCTAGCGTACAAGGCTAGTACAGCGACTGCACCCCACCTACTATTTGTACCCGTTGTTAGGACTCTGTACGTACGCCACGCAACGCATTTTTGAGTTTAGCTCCGAATGAAGTATACTGCTCTCGTAGTATCAGGTGACACGGATATGATCAGATCACTGAAATTGCCAACAAGCTCCATCCAGACACCATCAGTGGGACGGTCACCCGACAACTCCCGTATGGTTTCTACGACAAGTTCTGTTAGTATGTCGGAAAGTGCGATAGTACAAAAACAAGTCAATACTTTACTGTAGATTCTTCGCATAACACGGAATCGTAGGGTACTAGTAAGTGAGCATTCAGCCATAGAACACTCTCTAGTATTGGTCTTGTATTCGTTCGAAGAGCCGAAGAGTATGAATTTGTCCTACAGTCTGCGTCGCCACCGCGCCATTTTGTCATACTCCTTGACGTACTCGCTTTGCTTGACTGGTCTAACTTTTCGACCAGATCATGGCTTGGCGGCCAAATCTGTACATCAGATCAAAAGTTTACTAGGTCCACATTTCACCAGTATTTGATTCAGAGGTCAATGTACAGTGGCCAAAACATCTCACACTTAAGAGCCCTGTGACGCACTAAGTCAGACACTGTAAATGCGGCATAAGAATTTGAAGAACGATTAGAATATTAACATGAGACAATTAATTTTTACAGCATCTTTGGCCATGTTCCGATGGAGAGTTACAGACTTAAATTTCTATTTGTTTTCACAATTCACCAATCAAAGTGCAAGACCAAGCACTTATGCTTTGTTTCCCGCTATATATCTGATGAGCGAACTGAAATGGATAATTGAGAAATAATTCCCGGGGATGACATCGTGTCTATTCTAACTTGCTTTATTGTGGTTGTATTAGCCTGATGATGAAGCCATGAAAACAAGCTTGTTCGCTACTTTCTGTTTCTGATGTCATCCCCGGGAATTATTTCTCAATTGAAACAGTCCAAGGATCCCACTGTGTTTAGAGAACTTAACCAGTATGTTAAGTTCAGCACGAAGCTTGCGGTAGCGAGAGCGTCAGTGCAATTTTTTGACGAGTGCATTTTACGTTGTGAATACCCCAAGCACTTTTGGAAAATTCTCAGACGTAATGGAATTAATCCAACTAATACAGCTTTGAAACGCCACACGTTGAATGAACGTGATACGATTGTGTCTCGGATTAACGAACTCGAGCTTAAACGTTGCGTTTTCTCTGTCGCGCTAGAGAATCTATCTGCTGAGGAATACCAGACGTTCGAATCATACGTTCAGAGAATTGTGGCACGACAAGTGGAAGTACGACTATCCTCACTGCAGAAACAACTCAATGTGGGTAAGCCACAGAACTTATTTCCTCCTGACCCTGAGAGATACGTTCACAATTTCTCCTCAGTACCATTAGACAAGGTTTTACTTGAAGCTCTTTCACTCGGCCCGAAATTCTGTTGTCCACGAAACTATGTTAAACAGCTAGATTTAGAGGTCCAATTTGAGAATCTCTATTCCCAAGTAGCTACACTTTCGCCGTCCTCAGCCTTAGCAGCCGAGCAGTATAAATCAACGCTGGTTAACGCATGTTACGAGTACCTAACTTATAAACCATGTACCAAGCATCTATTGAAGCAGGAACATCTAGACGCCCTTAAAGAACTCAAGCGAAACGATAAGATACTGTTGTCTAGGCCGGATAAAGGAGCCGGGATTGTTCTGATGGACAGATCGGACTACATCAGTAAGATGTATGCCATTCTTTCTGACGGGACAAAATTTCGTAGAGTGGATAATGAGAATGACAAGACACAGGCAATCGAGAGATCCATAACGAAACTCCTGCGTTGCTTAAAGCAGGAGAATGTAATCGACTCAGATATATTTGAATACACCAGACCGAGTGGGACAGTAATTCCAAGATTGTATGGCCTGCCCAAAGTACACAAGGAAGGGCTACCACTAAGGCCGATACTGGATATGTGTAACTCACCGTACCATTCAACTGCCAAGTGGCTCGTCAAACGGTTGGAACCAGTCAGGAAAGCCATAGCTAGATACAGTCTCAAAGATACCTTCGATTTTCTTGACTCAGTGAGACAAATTGAGCTAGCTGGGCGACAGATGTTCTCCTTAGATGTGGTGTCTCTTTTTACCAATGTTCCCTTGGAGGAGACCATAGATTATCTGTGCGAGTTCATCCTGCTGCGCAACATCAATGTTGGTATCCCACTAGACCGGCTGAGACAACTGCTACTCATGTGCACACGAAACATTCAGTTTCAGTTTAATGGAACGCTATATCGACAAATAGACGGGGTGGCAATGGGTTCACCATTAGGACCGTTGCTCGCGGACGTCTTCATGAGCAAATTGGAGTGCAACCAACTGAACGAATCCATCAACAGCTTGGTTTATTACGGTCGATACGTAGACGACATATTTTGTATCGCGAATAATGGAATGTGCGTCGATGACCTATTGGCCCAGTTTAACACTGCACATAGCAATATAACTTTCACTATCGAGCTAGAACGTAATGACACGTTGGCATTTTTAGATGTCCAAATCAAAAGGGCATCAGATGGGTCAATGCGAAGGAGGGTGCACAGAAAAGCAACCTGGAATGGGCAGTACATCCATTTCGCTAGCTTTGTTCCGATAAGTCAAAAAAGGAACCTCGTCCGTTGCCTAACGGAGAGAGCGAGGAGAATATGTACAGATGATACGCTTTCAGATGAGCTGAGTTTTATACGAAACGTACTCGAGCGCAATGGGTACCCTGAGAAATTCATCCAGAGGCACATGGAACCACGAGTACAAAAGCCCAAACCCGTTTCAGTGGAGAAGCGGATGGTATACTTATCGTTGCCATTTAAGGGTGACGCGATAGCGGAACGGACCACCCGAAGACTTTCCTTAGCAACAGAAAAAACGTATTTTGCCGCTAATCTCCGCGTAAGCTTCACTTCAACACCGCTCGTGTGCCAACAACTTAAAGACAGGATACCTCGGTCGCAGACCTCCTTTTGTGTGTACAATTTCTCTTGCTCGTGTCGAGCAAGGTATATCGGGAAAACGACCAGGCGACTGTCCATTAGGGCTCGAGAGCATTGCCCAGCTTGGCTCTATAGCGGCGTGAGGAAGAATATAACGAGTGCAGTGTTGTCGCACCTAGTTGACTCCGACCATCAAATCGATTCGCGTGACGCATTCACACCGATTTACTGTGTCCCTGGACGTTTCACACGGGCAGTCAGATGTCGCCTGCTGTCGACAGCAGAGGCGATCGCAATTCGGCTCCATAACCCGGACCTATGTGCACAGAAAAAGCTCGTCCACACTTTAGCCTTGCCTTGGCCTGAGATCAACGCGACTAACAATGGCAGTCACGCCAATTCACTTGACCAATCAGACCAAACACGTAGACTTATCGATTAGTTACTCTGTTTCAGTGACTCAATTTAAACCATCGTGTCTATTCTAACTTGCTTTATTGTGGTTGTATTAGCCTGATGATGAAGCCATGAAAACAAGCTTGTTCGCTACTTTCTGTTTCTGAAATGGATAAATAATGGAACGCTTGCAATACATTCTTGCAGGCCAATGTTGAACTACTCTCTGGGGGATTCCGGAACTTCCACCTCGTAAACACTGGTTACGTGAGATGAGAACATGGCTGTACTGTCATCGATCGGTCGGTGGTCGAAAAGATTGTACCCCTGCCTTGCAATCCTTAGGTCACCTGTTCGAATCCGAGTTGGAGCTGGTGCCCTCGCGGTATACTCCACCCACGCACTACCGGTGGTGGTCGTGTGGCAGCTAAGCGTGGATACAACCTGTCGGCGTACTGCTGATAACTTTTGCATCGTAGTCGCAGGACCCTTCCCAAGGCTAATATCAGACGGGGGGGGGCCATCTCTGGGGTGAGGATTAGGGACGATAAACGACTGCCAAAAGGTTGGTGCCGTCATGTCTCCATCACAGACAAGTCCAGAATAGTATACGGGTCACCGTTTCCTTGCTTCAACCTGTTAACGCCAATCCCACGGAATATCCGTAAAGACGCGGACGGACTAAGAGAATTCGGAGACCACCTGTCGAGAGCAGAATCGCTTCTGCCTCATCAAATGAAGTCAATACAACTCCCCCTCGCCCCCTCCTTCTTTCGTAAGCCTGTCGCTTCGCATGAGTGACATGCCCAGCAGCGGGACTTCAGCCTGTGTCGTCCCAGTGTGCAACCATGTCTTCGTGACACCGATAATATCGCCTGTCTACAACATTTAGCGATCCTTCAGTTCGGCCAGCTTATTGTAAAGGTCTTGAGCATTTCTATAAAGGTAGGATAGTTTCTCGGTCTCTAAGAACCCACAGGGAGCCAAAGAAGTCAAGTGTAGTAGAAGGAAGACCAGTGCGAGGTCGGCCGTTATTCGTTTTTTGATGAGATGATGATAACGTGTCGTTCGTAAACTGATTTGGCCAAGGTACTTTCCATTCCTTGTCCGGACCTGCTGCAGGATGGCGTGACCGAGCGGTAAAGTGATATGCGTAATCACTGCTAGGATTGCTTTTTCAGATAGGCCTATGTTTGATCATTTCAAGAATTCAGCAGCTCCTAACTGATGTTCAGATGGAAGGCTTTTACGATGTCTCCGCCAACGTTCTAACACTTCCGCTACTGTTTGCTATGACTGAATCAGCAGTTTTAGGATTCTAGCTTTGATTCCTCTTTAATTTGGTGAGTGAGGTAGCCTTTTGAGCGATCGAGCTGCAAAGTTGTCCAAGGAAAGTGTTTCATGAATGAACCACTACTGCTTTAAATCGTTGTTACCGTCCTCATGACTATCGTGGGAAGCAAGTTCTGACACGCCATAAATAAAAATGGTGCTTAGATAATCCAGCTTGCTATGTCCATCTGTGATGTTCCCTTTCGATTGTCGCATGCTCCAAGGGAAGTCAGGATAGATGCATAACTTACAAGACGCGTGTTGTAGCACGCTTGCAGAGAGTAAAACCTTTTCCACTTCAGTGGCTACTTCCAGTTTCACCATAATAATTCTGGGTTCGCTATAGTGTGCAGAGTTCGGGTGACGAGTAACGCTCACTAGGTTTGCGGGTTTTGCTGCTAGGCTCATTAAAATACACAGTGAGTCCCACTGGTCCTGGTCGTCAGACAACTTACCCCGCAAAATGATGGTGGTAGATTCGGGGACATTGGTACGCACGACAGTCATGGAATTATTATTGGAGCCCCTTTTGTTGAACTGTAAGGTCGGGTGATCGTTGGGCCTGGTTTTATGCCAAGTGAGAATGGTCCACTATTTGTCGCTCTATTGGCGTTAGCGGTGTTTGTAACAGGGGCGACACTAAAGGTAGTATCCCGAGGGATTTTGCAGTGATCTGTGCATTTGTGACTGGAGTCTCAGGGGATTTGAACTCGACCAGTGACCCTTGGGTTGAAGGTGCAGTAGACTCGGATTCGGCTGTCCCATCCTTGTTAATGATACAAGTTATTTATGAATGGAAGTATTTTGGTGAGTGTTTTTGTTCGGCGCAATCAGCTGACAATTCAGATATGTCGACCAGCTGTCCGGAAAAGCACCAGACGGCCGTTTCGCCCTATTGGGGCTCATCAGTGGTGCGCATCCTTCGGTCCTCTGTGGAGGATCGAACCCATGACTGCTAGTGGCTCCTGCCAACTAACCCGCAGCTTATGCAACTGCGGCATGGAGGACGGTATCTGACTATCGTGAATTGTTAGCTAAATGCGATATAGCCCGACGCATCCTCCACTGCCATGCAGGCACCTGCCATGCAGATGACAGCGGTCGTCCGTACGGATTCCACAAAATGCTATGTCGATTCATAGTTGCCGTAACCGGGAAGTCCTGACGCAGGAAGGCCGACCGCTGTCATCTGCATGGCAGTGGAGGACGCGTCGGGCTATATCGCATTTAGCTAACAATTCACGATAGTCGGATACCGTCCTCCATGGCGCAGTTGCATAAGCTGCGGGCTAGTTGGCAAGAGCCACTAGCAGTCATGGGTTCGATCCTCCGCAGAGGACCGAAGAATGCGCATCACTGATGAGTCCCAATAGGGCGAAACGGCCGTCTGGTGCTTTTCCGGACAGCTGGTTGACATATCTGAATTGTCAGCTGACTGCGACGAACAATGATACAAGTTTTGGTGTAGATTCGTCGCAGTTAGACACAGACAGACAGCCACCACACATCCAGGAAAGCGCTAGACGGCCGTTTCGTCCTATTGGGACTCGTCAGTAGCGCGCACCCGCCGAATCCTGCCGGATTCGAACCCACGACCTTACTCTTGCGAGTCAGCGACTTATGCCACTGAGCCATGGGCGACGGCAGCGGACCGCCATGACTGCTATCTAACTGCGATATAGCGCGGCTCATCCTCCACTGTCTTGCATGCTATGCATGTGCAGAGGACAGGGCTGGCCCCCAGAGCAACGACTTCCTTTGCAAGCCGCCACCAATCGAGGTGGCAAGTATGCTGCTAAGGCGACTACTGATTATTTTTAAGTAGTAGTAGTAATAATCAGTAGTCGCCTTAGCAGCATACTTGCCACCTCGATTGGTGGCGGCTTGCAAAGAAAGTCGTTGCTCTGGGGGCCAGCCCTGTCCTCTGCACATGCATAACATGCAAGACAGTGGAGGATGAGCCGCGCTATATCGCAGTTAGATATCAGTCATGGCGCTCCGCTGCCGTCGCCCATGGCTCAGTGACATAACTCGCTGACTCGCAAGAGTAAGGTCGTGGGTTCGAATCCGGCAGGATTCGGCGGGTGCGCGCTACTGACGAGTCCCAATAGGACGAAACGGCCGTCTAGCGCTTTCCTGGATGTGTGGTGGCTGTCTGTCTGTGTCTAACTGCGACGAATCTACACAAAAACCTAATAAATCCCCCTACTACTTAAAAATGATACAAGTTGTCCAGACCGGCGGAATTTGATCGATCACATGTCTCGAGTAGTGCCTGGTTTTTAGGATTCTGAGTACCGCTTGTTCATCAGAGCTACGTTCTGTTTTCGTCTGGCCTCCTTCCAAAATTGAAGGAGATAACGACAATGGGGATCTTGTCACTCGTGGTTCAAGCTAAGCAACTTTTGCACCAATGCTTCTCCTCAAAGCCATTGTGCTCTCATGGTGCATACTTGCTTCCAGTGATATAAACTTAGCCTTCGTTCGTTATTCAACTTCTTCTGTTATTCGCTCGCACTTTTGGACTAGAAGAAGTATACATTTGACTAGTGTGATGGTCGAACACGCAGCACAAGACCAGATATCGTATTGGGAGTTGTTTCGAACTCCCAAGTGTTGTCGGAAAAGAATTGCACATTTTGTTTGGTACCATTTGGAACAGTATGCGCAAGGTAAGCCGAATTTGACTAATCGGTTACATTCAGGGGACCCACATTCACCCTTCGACTGGAGCCCTTTTAGGTTCGCATCTACTTGTTTTCTGCTACTTGGCATAGTGTTGCTAACTTACACAGTAGGCTAGTTGTGTTGCGTACTTTGCCAACTGGTCGGTTGCGTACCCTAGTCAGACAGGTGGATGCAGATGCTTCGTTTCTTTGTCACACACTGCCCTGTGAAGTGAGAGATAACGCGAAAAGACCAACTTGCCTGGAGTTGAAACGGACACACGCTGGTTTCAGTTCACACGCCAGTCCAAACGCCGCAGTCAGGTGACTGCCGATATGAGTTTTAATCCTGTTCAATGGCCGGAGCGCTATTCGCGACAGGACGCGGTTGAGAGGACTGCAGAGTAGATCGATCGCCGTCAACCGCTAAAATGGTCAGCCGATGCTGAGAAATCTCCAAAACCGGTAAGACGGTTTAGGTGATAAGGCGATGGAATAATTATTGTGCTTGGTAATGCACTGAATAGAGTTGTTGATTCCGTGTCGGATGAGTGAAACTTGAGGGATGTGTGGTGAAATGCGTAGGGAAAACCACACTACAAGACGGATCACTGGATGATTGAAAAGATTTGCACAGTTGGCACAAAACTGATATCTTTCCAATTTTTTCCGGTGAGGGAAAGAGCACACAAAACGGGATTGAGTAGTATATGATAAGCTGAAGTCCGCTAAGATTTCGCTTAGCTAACGTACAAATTATCCGAGCTTCGGTTTGATGTCCATTCGACAGTGAGTTTGCCATCGATTTACAACCGTGTAGATCACTACTCGTACATTATGTGATTTCGTAGTGACCGTTTGCGCAGCTTTGATTGAGGTCGACTAGCCGATCAGTGGATACATTCGGTGGATACTGTGTGTGTACATGTTAGCCTAATTCATTCATTTTAGATCCAGTAGCAGCGACTGAATACCCAAATTTCGGGGTGTTCTTGGCGGCAACCACGATCCAACCAACACTCGTGGCCAAATCCTACCGATATTTTGAGACCGTTTGTTTGGTGCACGATATCCTGTTCGTACTGACTCAAATCGGAATGGAATTGGTTAGTTCAGGCTTACATAATCCTCTGTTTGGAGTTCACGGTTACAGGT